TCTTATTCTTTTCACTATTTAGAGAATACTTTATTAGTTTCTGTAATCAAACCCACGTAGATATGACCTTACATATTTAGTACGATGTGTTACCCCTGTACACATGGAAAAAAATAAAAATAAAAATAAAAATAAATTAAAACAACATGACTATGCAATTAGAAATAATTATATGTACATATATATTTGATAATTTGAGAAAAAAGTATGGAAAGGAAGAAAGAGAAACAAAAAAAGATGGCACAAACACAAAACCAGTAAAAATTTTAGGTTTGAGTACAACTAGGTCAAAATAGCATAAGTAAACCAGAACCCCTACATAAAAGTAGATTTTTAGAGTAGATGAATAAAAATGAGGCTTAACTATATGCTGTTTACAAAAGATATTCTTTAAATATAAAGATAGATATTTTGAAAATGAAAATAGTGGAAAAAAATATTTAATGCAGAGAGTAAACAAAATGTAAAGTGACCATATTAGTATTAAGTAGACTTTAAGGTGTTAATAGAAGCACAATGGAACATTTTGTAACATCAAAGTAGTTAATCAAGAAAAAATAGTTATAAATATGAACCTAATAGCAAGAGTTTCAAATTATATGAAACAAAATTGACAGAAATTGGAAGAAAATTTCAAAAAATATCATTAGAGATTATAACATATTCTCAATCAACACTGGATTAAGTAGTTTTAAAATAATATTAACTAAAATGAATAAAGGCTGACCCTATCAAATATTTTATAATATGGAAAAATAAGAGCATTCCTACTTGGTGGAAATGTTAGATTTTTATAACTACTTTGGGGGAAAAATTGGCAGATTTTTATAAAGTTAAACATAACTCCTTCCCTTTTACTCAGCAATTCCTGTCTGGTACTTAGCCAAGCGAAATGAAAACATATGTCCAGAAAAGACCTGTTCAGAAACACTCATTGGAAATTTATTCATAATAAGCCAAAGCTGGAAACAATCCAGATGTCTACCAACAGGAAAATTAATAAACAAGTTGTGGCATTACTCAGATATAAAAAGATGCTGACTACTGATATAACTAAAAACATGGGAGAACCTTGCAGATGTCTTGAGTAAAAGAAGAGTCAAAGAATATAGTCTGCATAATTCCCTTTTTATATGATACTGCAACAAAAAATAGATTTCTTACTTTTCGAGAAATTGCAGTACAGGATGGGATAAGATTAGATTGTGTGTGATGCTGGTTTTAAATTAGAGGAATCCTATTTGTGTTTTTTAATATAGTAGGTTAATATATGCATATACTATATGTGTGTGTATGTATATATGTGTGTGTGTGTGTGTGTGTGTGTGTAATGGGCTTTCCTTTATATATCTGGCCCTTCTGAATGCTCTCAATCATATTTCAGCCATGAGGAAATCCCCCTGGCCCTGACCCATTCTCCCATCTGGATGATGGCTCTGCACCTCATCCACAGCCGGCACCTGGCCCACCTGTCCTCATCCCTGCACGGGGCTGTGATGGCAGCCTGCAGACTGGTCCCTTCCCTTCACTCAGCCCTTTCGGCCCAACGACACAACAGAAATGACAGTGAATCCTATGAAAGCAGGAATTAGACCGTGTCACTGCCCACATCGACCCCCTCCATGGACTGCAGGCTGTAAGCAAAAGGCCCCAAGTCTTTACCATATCGCAAATCCAAAGTGGTCACTATCTACCTCTCCAAACTCACTGTTAAGAGTCTCCCCAGGCTTACTGGCCTTCTGCCATGCGTGGTTTTCTGGTGAGGAAATAACAATTAATCTGAGATGATAACATTTGCACAGTGCTTTATCCAGTGTTCAGCTCTCAGTTTTTAAATACAGTCCTACATTCCTTTGGGGGCTAATTCCAGCAGGGGTTGAGCAAGTGCAAGATGAATCTGGCACAGCTTGTGCTGGAGAGCAGGGGGCAGTCAGACATGTGAGCAGAGAGCCCAGGGGACGGGCTCCCCAGGACCCCACTGGGGATGGCATAAGGGGCCATGGAAGGACAGAGGTGGGAATAGAGGAAAACACTTTGGGTAAAACCTCGGGGAGGGGGAGTGGGCTCCACAGGAAACATCAAGACAGACGAAAAAGTTCTTTTTAAAAAGCTGCCAGATAATGCAGAAAAAAAAACCCCAAAATCACCTCTTTTTAACCACTACAGTAACAACCCATTCAGCCAATTTACACATTGATGTATGTGGATGGCTGTTTGGTCTAAATACAGTAAGCAGCATTTGGAAACAAAGCGTTCATAGTCTCCAAATATCACCCACAAGTTACTCAGCAAGTATAATTAGGAAAAGCATATTTGTGATCAAGAGATCTACCAGTCATCAACTGCTAATCAGTGATAAATATACATCCCTAATAATTATAATAACGCATCCCTTCCTGTACAATGCAGTAAGAAGTATTCAATATTGTCTCTTGGGTATATTAACCCAAAAATATTTGATTTTAATCTAATGATGACTAAAAAACACAGACAGACAAACCAGAATACAGTATGTTCTACAATGTGCTGACTCTTCAAAGAGTCAGCATCACAAAAACATTTGATTTTAGGAGTAATGATCTAGATTATAAAAACCCAAAGAGGCGTAACAATAAAACATAATATACTAACCTTAGCTGGATCCTGGGTTTAAAAATAATAATGTGAAATCCTTCATGACATAAAAAAAGAATATATGTGGAACTAAAAAACATTACAGAATTATCGTTAATTTTTAGTTGTATCCATGATATTGTCATTAACTAGGGAAAAGCCCTTAATTTTAAAGGATGCAAACACTAGTATTTATTATCAGGGGTTATGATGTGCATGATTTTCAAACATTAACCATCAAATAACCTAGGTGTCACGGTTGGGGTCTAGATGTTCCCCCAAAGCCTCCTGTGGTCACAGGCCTGACCTAGAGGGTGTGAATCTGGGAATGGCTCATGATGCAATGCTAGGCTCAAGGGCACTAGGATTAAGGGTGTGAGAGCTTCCTGCCCTAAGAAGTCTGAATAAGATAAAAGTGTCAGGGAGATGCTCTTAGCTCCCTTGTTACCCTCGCTGCCTCCTGTGTGTCCTGTTGTTTCTGCTCTGCCAGGCCTGTTTGTCATCCCTGCCTTGGAGTTGGCACATTATGGACAGAAGCCTCTATGAACTGTAAGCCAAACAAACCCCTTCCCCTCTCAATGTGGGTATCTGGTTATTTTGTCTCAGCAATGAGAGAAAAGTAACTAACACACTAGGAGAAGGGATTTCCGTGATCTGTTCTTTCAACTTTTCTGCTGGTTTGAAATTTAAGGATAAAAGGCAAGAAAAACAGAAGCTTAAAAAAACTAAAGCTCTCTTCCCACAGACAGAGGAAAGGAGAGACGTGAAAGACAGAAGTGAGGGAGGAAGAAAGAGAGGGAGAGAGACTGTCCCCATGGAGGCCCTCGTGTGTTTCAGGGTTCTCAGGCTTCACGAGGTCCTTGGGGAGAAGAGCATCCTATCTCCATCAATGCTCTAGAAATTAAAAAAAAAGAAACAACAAACAAAAAAACAAACTCCAAGAAACAGCCTGGAGGGAACACAGGCATGATTCAGAATAGAGGCTGCGCCACTCCTACATCCTCACACATCTAACCTGACATGTACATTAATCTCTGTTTATGGGAAACATAGGAACAAAAACCAGAAGTTAAAGGATGCAGGAGAAGAATAAAGGTTCGTAAAATCATAATAGACTCCCATAACACTTTTTTAGAGGCGTGTACTTCACCAAGCCCTAAACAGCAGAGACAAAGGTGCTGAGGAGCCCCGATGCTGGTGTGTCAAACGCTGTAAGTATGTGGCGTTTCCATGGGGCACAATCACAGTCTCAGACAAGTTTCAGTGGAAAACTGAAAAAATGCATTGTGTATGACATGCATCTCTAACTGCGAACATGAGTTGCTAAATTTGGGAAATGTATACAATTTGGGATGGATTCAGAGCGTGTGTGTGTGTGTGTGTGTGTGTGTGTGTGTGTGTGTGTTATGAAAAACACTGCCCTGCTTTCCTACATGCCTACATCACATACAATCTTGAGCATGAGTGTGGACATCGACTAGACACAGACATCACCCTCTACGTTCTCATTACCCTATAAAGGCACTGCTGTCCTTTCCTGGGCTGCAAAAATAGGATGCTGAAGACTTAAATCGAAGATTCTCCTTATTGCTAACAGCCTACGCGTTTGAACTTCGAAGCGATCCCTTGCTCCTCACTGGGACGTTTGCAAACTCACAATTCAACTG